ACACACACACACACACACACACACACACACACGCAGCCGCGATCTGTAACCATTTTCCATATAGTGTGTAAACGGCTCTCAAGGACTCCTGTCCACTTGCTTTCAATGAACTGTTGAGAGACATCCAGCAGGCAGCGGTAACAACTCGGCCGAGCTCCAGCCAAGGCCACCGGGCTAACACAGCTCGTTTACCACAGTAAATACACAGGTTCTCCAAGTAAAATGGAAATACACAGACATGCAAACACACACACGCACAGAAGCGCACAAACACAACGGTCCTTTTGAACAGAGAGTTCTCGATAACTCTGGCAGATGCTACCAAGCTTCCTGACTGTATAGACAGGAAACAATAGTTCACAGTAGTGGTGGTGGTGGGTGGGGGGGTATATGCTGTAACTGTAACACTGAACTGAGTGTGAAATCAAACGCTGTTCATAACGTAAGCTACTAACATGGGGACGACAACCTCTAATTATTGTTTTCAGTGTTATCCTGTTGATGTGTCCCAGTAGGTTAAGTTCTGTATGTATTTATGGAAAACATAAATGCACGCAAGTCTCTTGCTTTGGGGACACTTGTATGGATCCTATAAACCTGAAGGTATTTATTAAACTCAGAGGAAAGACTCCCACAAACAGTGGTTAGCAACAAGCACAACTTGGCTCCTGTTATGTTTTAGTTAAACCCAGATTAAATTCATTAGTGGGTACGACCCACAGAGATTCACAGCAGATTTTGTTGTGAGTATAGATGTGGTAGAGTGACATACTGAGGCACCAGTGGTGACAAAGTGAACTGAAGATGAGAGAAAATAAATAAATAAGTTATGTTTGCTGTTATACTGGTTCAATATATGATTTTATATGATTTTGCTGTTCAAACTGGGAAAGTTGGCTTCAGGGCGCAGGCTTGGCTTCAGATTCAGTTTGACTGCTAGCGCTCTCAGTATCGCTTATCTTGCTTCAACTTACTTTCTTGGCCCCTCTCCTTGTTCTTCAGCAGCAGCAGCTTCTGTTCTCTCTGCTGCTTCTCCAGCTCCTGCTCCCGACGGTGGTTCTCCATCTTCCTCTGATGTTCCAGCAGCTCCTGCTGGTGCTTCAAAGCCAGGAGCTCCTGTTGCTGCTGCACGAAGAAAGACCACAATCACATTAGCAAATATTCACCAAACGGGCGACTGATCGCAGATAATTCCAAGTATCCTGCATGGAAGTTTGGAACTGTTCTTTATTAGCCCTCACATCTATATCTACTAGGGCTGCCACAAACGATTATTTTGATAGTCGACTAGTCAC